TCTCTCTCTCTCTCTCTCTCTCTCTCTCTCTCTCTCTCTCTCTCTCTCTCTCTCTCTCTCTCTCTCTCTCTCTCTTCGTCTGTGGATTCCGTTCTTGGTTCGCTGCTAGGTTCTGCAATTGCTTCTGTGTTTCGATAGGTCATTGGTTCGATGCTTATTTAGACGCTCGGTTCAGTGATTGTAGAAGGAGGCATTAATTGTTTGGTTCGGTGATCGGTTCTGTGCTGCCATCCGTCGTAAGATCGGTGATTGGATCGATTATTGGTTACGAACCCGACTTCTTCGGTGCTTGGATCGGGGCTCTCTCTCTCTCGCTCTCTCTCTCTCTCTCTCCCTCTCTCTCTCTCTCTACTCTCCCCTCCCTTCGTCTGCGGATTTTGTTTTTGGTTCGCTGCTAGGTTCTGCAATTGGTTCAGTGTTTGGATAGGTCATTGGTTCGGTGCTTGTTTTGACGCTCGGTTCAGTGATTGGAGAAGGAGGCATCAATTGTTTGGTTCGGTGATCGGTTCTGTGCTGACATACGTCGTTGGATCGGTGATTGGATCGATTATTGGTTACGAACCCGACTTCTTCGGTGCTTGGATCGTCTCTCTCTCTCTCTCTCTCTCTCTCTCTCTCCGTCTCTTTCTCCCTTTTTGGTTCGTTGCTAGGTTTTGCAGTTGCTTCAGTGCTTGGATAGGTCATTGGTTCGGTGCTTGTTTCGGTGCTTGGATAGGGGCTAGTTCGCTGTTGCGTTCTGTGGTTGCTTCACTGCTTTCATCGCGCCTTGGTTTGGTGCTTGTTTCGTCTCTCGGTTCAGTGCTTCGTTTAGTGCTTGCTCCGGTGATTGGTTTGGTGATCGGTTCGGTGATGGCATCCGTGGTTGGATCGGTGCTTGGATCAGTGCTTGTATAGGTTTTTGGTTTGGTGCTGGGATCGGCGGCGGTCTTCTCTCTCTCTCTCTCTCTCTCTCTCTCTCTCTCTCTCTCTCTCTCTCTCTCTCCCTCTCTCTTTGGATTCGGTGGGCCGATTCCCTATTTCGATTGGTACTTCGTTCGGTGATTACTCTGGTGGTTCGTGATCGGTGCTTCGTACGCTTCAACGCATGGAACGGTGATTGGTTTGCTGATCGCTTTGGTGCTTCGAACGGTGCTTCGTTAGGTTTGTCGTGTATCGGTGCTTGTTTCAATGCATGGTTCACTAATTAGTTCGGTGCTTGGATTGGTGCTTCGTCCAGAGCTTGCTTTGATACATGGTTCGGTACTTGGATTCCCTTGGAACGACGCTCTTTCTCCTCTCTCTCTCTCTCTCTCTCTCTCTCTCTCTCTCTCTCTCTCTCTCTCTCTCTCTCTCTCTCTCCATTCAGTTCGCCGATTCTTTTCTTGGATCGTTGTTCGGTTCGCCGATTCAACCAGGGATTGGTGTCTTTCTCTCTCCCTTGCTGCTCTCTCTCTCTCTCTCTCTCTCTCTCTCTCTCTCTCTCTCTCTCTCTCTCTCTCTCTCTCTCTCTCTCTCTCTCTCTCTCTGTCACTCGTTCCGGATTCCGTCTACTGATTTCGTTCTTGGTTCGGTGCTACGTTCTGCGGTTGCTTCATTGCTTTCATTGGTCATTGGTTCGGTGCTTATTTCGTTTCTCGTTTCAGTGCTCTGTTTAGTGCTTGCTTCGGTGATTGGTTCGGTGATCAGTTCCTTGCTGGCATATGTGGTCGGATCGGTGCTTGTATCGCTTTTTGGTTACTAACCCCAGTTGTGCGGTGCTCGGTTCGGCTCTCTCTCTCTCTCTCTCTCTCTCTCTCTCTCTCTCTCTCTCTGTGTGTCTGATCGGAACAGATACTACACTTGATCGTCGTTGTCGTTTTGGGGGGAGTTGTGCGGTGCTCGGTTCGGCTCTCTCTCTCTCTCTCTCTCTCTCTCTCTCTCTCTCTCTCTCTCTCTCTCTCTCTCTCTCTCTCTCTCTCTCTCTGTGGAATCTGTGGATTGCCTTGGGCCTGTCCGACTTTTTGGATTGGTACTTCGATTGGTGATTAGGGAGGTGGTCGGTGTTCGGTGCTTCGCCCATTCTTTCCTTGGATCATTGCTTCGCTCGCTTCAGTGCATGGCTCGGTGGTTAGTTTAGCGATCACTTTCTCCCTGTTGTCTATCTGTCTCTCCCTCTCTCTCTCCATTCGGTTCGCCGATTCTTTGCTTCAATCGGTGTTCGTTTCGCCGATTCAACCACGGATCGGTGTTACCACTAGACACTCTCTCTCTCCATCTATCTCCCTCAGCCTCTCTCTCCCTCTATCTCCCGCTCTCTCTCTCTTTGAAGTGCTCAAGGACTCGGTGTGCGGATTCCGTGCTTGGTCCAGTGCTTGGTTTTGTGTTTAGTTCTGCGCGTGCTTCGATGCTTGCATCGGTAATTCGTTCGATGTTTGGTTCGGTGCTTGTTTGGGCGCCCTGTTCACTGTTTGGTTCGGGGTTTGGTTCGGTGATTGGTTTGTTGATCGGTTCGCTGCTTCGCTGTTATTTCTTTCGGTGGTTGCATCGGTGATTGGATCAGTGCTTCGTGACGAATCCAATGCACTACATGGTTCGCTACTTGTATCGGTGGATGGATCGGTGCTAGGATCGGCCATTGCTTCACTACATGCTTCGCTGCTTCGATGGTTCGGTACATGGTTCACTACGTGGTTCGCTGCATAGATCGCTACTGGGATCGCTATATTGGTTCGCTAGATGGTTCGCTGCTTGGATCGAAGCTTGGTCCAGTGCTTGGTTTTGTGTTTGGTTCTGTGTTTGGTTCTGCGTGTGCTTCGATGCTTGCATCGGTAATTGGTTCGGTGTTTGGTTCGGTGGTTGTTTCAGTGCCCTGTTCACTCCTCGGTTCGGGGTTTGGTTTGGTGATTGGTTCGTTGATCGGTTCGCTGCTTCGCTGTTATTTCTTTCGGTGGTTGCATCGATGATTGGATCGGTGCTTCGTGAGGAATCCAATGCGCTACATGGTTCGCTACTTGTATCGGTGGATGGATTGGTACTAGTGTCGGTGATTGGTTCGCTACATGGTTCGCTGCTTCGGTCTGCTATTGGTTCGCCGTTTGTATATGTGGTTGGTTCAGTGCATGGAAAGCCACCTGAAT